ATGTTTCTTATGTGATGGTCTTTTTAAATTGAATGTTAAGAATTCTACTCTTGCATCTCCAATAGCTTTAACTATTGAACCTTCCATCACTTGGTATCAAAGATTAGGACATGTGAATTATAATTCAATTAAAAGATTGATGCATCTCAATATAATTCCAAAGCTTAATATAAAAGATGATGAAAAATGTGAAATATGTGTAGAAGCCAAACTTCCTAAGAAACCATTTAAAACTATTGATAGAGATTCTGAGATATTAGAACTCATCCATAGTGATGTTTGTGATTCAGGAAGAACAACTAGAGGGGGTAACAAATATTTTGTAACTTTTATAGACGATTGCTCTAAATATTGTTACCTCTACTTAATTAAGACTAAAGATGAAGTCATAAACAAATTCAAAATATATAAAGTAGAAGTTGAAAATCAGTTGGATAGGAAAATTAAAATACTAAGATCAGATAGAGGTGGTGAGTACACTTCTAATGAATTAAAACAATTCTGTGAAGATAATGGAATTATTCATGAAATAACTGCTCCATATACACCTCAATCTAATGGAGTAGCTGAGAGAAAGAATAGAACACTAATAGACATGGTAAACTCAATGTTAATTAATTCTGGTGTGCCAGAAAATTTATGGGGAGAAGCTCTCATGACTGCATGTCATATAGTAAATAGAATTTCATTCAAAAAATCTGATAAAACCCCTTACACAATTTGGAAAAATAAAAACCCTAATTTGGATCATCTGAAAGTGTGGGGGTGCTTAGCAAAAGTTAAAATACCTGAGAATAAGAGAAAAAAAATTGGACCTAAAACTGTAGATGGAATTTTTATTGACTATGCTTCTGATAGTAATGCAAATAGACTTTTAATAATCAACTCTGACATTAATGAGATAGCCAACAACACCATAATTGAAGCTAGGGATGCACATTACTTTGAAAATATTTTTCCTTACAAGACCAGAGTAAACAACACAGGCCCTAGCACTAGTAATTCAGATTCTAGTTCTAACCAAGGTGAAACTAGTTCTAAACGAATTAGACCACTAGAAAGTCCAGAGGAGCCTAGGAGAAGTAAAAGAACTAGAATAGAAAAAGTCCATGAAGATTTCTATGCATTACTTGTAGAAGATTCTCCAATTACATTTGAAGATGCAATGAAATCAGTAGATGCTCCATTTTGGAAGGAAGCTATAAATAATGAGATACAATCTATAATTCAAAATCATACTTGGAAACTAACTGATCTTCCTTCAGGTTGTAAAACTATAGGATGTAAATGGGTATTTAAGAAGAAACTCAGACTCTTCCTTCAGGTTGTAAAACTATAGGATGTAAATGGGTATTTAAGAAGAAACTCAGACCAGATGGAACAATAGATAAATATAAGGCCAGATTAGTAGCTAAAGGATATACCCAAAAATCTGGTATTGATTATTTTGATGTCTATTCTCCAGTAGCTAGGATTACTACCATTAGAGTCCTTATAGCTCTAGCATCTATTCACAAATTAATAATACATCAAATGGACGTTAAAACTGCATTCTTAAATGGAGATTTAGATGAAGAAATCTATATGGATCAACCTGAGGGATTTATAGCTTCTGGACAAGAAAAGAAAGTATGCAAGCTTATTAGATCACTATATGGTCTCAAACAAGCCCCAAAACAATGGCATATGAAATTTGATGAAATTATACTATCTTATGGATTTGTAATTAATCAAACAGATGAGTGTGTATATCATAAAATAGATAAAAACAACAAAATTGTGATATTATGCCTATATGTTGATGACATTCTTATTTTTGGTTCTGACATACAAACCATAAATGAAATCAAACACTTCTTATCATAAAAATTCGACATGAAAGATTTAGGTTAAGCTGACCTAATTCTTAATACTAAAATCATGAAAAATGAGAATGAATATGTGTTATCACAATCACACTACATAGAGAAAATCCTTAAGAATTTTTATGATCCAAATTGTCAACCTGTTTCTACTCCATATGATCCTAATATACATCTAAAGAAAAATACAGGTAATCCTCAATTACAAAGAGAATATGCACAAATAATTGGATCATTAGGATTCCTAACAAACTACACAAGACCTGACATTGCTTATGCAGTAAATAGACTTAGTAGATATATATCAAATCCTGATAAGAGTCATTGGGATGCTCTAGAAAGAGTTTTGAGATACCTAAAAGGAACTATGAATTATGGTTTACACTATAAAGGTTATTCATCTGTATTAGAAGGCTACTCAGATGCAAATTGGATTAGTGACTCCGTAGATGTAAAATCTACCACTGGATTTGTGTTCCTTTTAGGAGGAGGAGCTGTGTCCTGGAAATCTACTAAACAAACTATAATGGCTAGAAGTACAATGGAATCAGAAATGATAGCTCTTGATACTACTAGTATAGAAGCTGAATGGTTGAAAGATTTACTAATTGAAATTCCATTAATACAAAAACCATTACCAGCTATTTCTATTCATTGTGATTGCAGGTCAGCGATTGACAAATGCCATCAAGAGAATGCAAATGTGAAGATGAATCGACACTTGAAAGTGCGACATAAGTCCTTGAGATATAAGATGAAAAACCATATAATAGCCTTAGATTTTGTAAGATCAAAGAAAAATCTTACAGATTACTTAACTAAAGGCTTATCTAGGACAGTGGTCCTAGAATCATCGAGGGGGATGGGATTAAGCCCATAAGAAAAATTACTGCAGTGGCAACCCAACCTCGCAGAGGTTCAATGGGTAGAAACAAACTGAATGAGTGATTAATTGTGAGGAGCACTGAATTTATTTGCTCCCATCCCTAGGGTGATCAGTGCTCATAAAAAAAAAACAAGTGAAAGGTTGAGTCTAACTCTTAATGAATCCAAGACCCATGAGGCATGATGTTTACTTGCTTCCATCCTTATTAGGATTCACCTATATGTGTGTAGTTGTGAGGCCGCGACTATGGGATCAGGGCTGCTCCCTAGTAACACACATGAAAGATACCTGCGCAAGGCCGATAATAGCGCAACCCGTTTAGAATTCTTCAAAACTGTACTATGTGTGCTTTCTGTAGAAATCTGATAAATGGGACTGGTTCAAGGCGTAGTCCACCAAGCTCTCACGGATCTATACAACTGTCACTAAGTGAAGGTTCAAACCGAAAGGTACCTCCACCTATTACATAGTATAAGGGAACCAACAATCTTATTTATTTTTAAGTTCTTCTTTTATTCTTATTTCTGAGTTATTTCAAGTTTTAATTTATGTGGGGGATTGTTAGAGTTGTAACTTAAAACTTGGGTTTGTAGAGGAAAAGAGGAAAAATTTAGTCCCATATAGGAAATGGAATAGGAAGGAAGGGTCTTTATAAGCCTTCCTTTTCTCTCCTATGCTTAGAAGAAAATAAAAGGTTATGCTCCACACCACACACGCGCGCGCCGGCCGGGCCGGGCTCGGGTGGCGCGCGCCCACGACCTGCGGACACGAATGCAGCTCCGGAGTGAGGGGCTCTTGATCCGCTACATTTTTATTTTTATTTTTTGCTAATTAAAACGTGTTCAATGGTGTTCAATGTGGATCTTATTTTCAAAACGGAAAATTGATTTGAAACGGTAATATTTAAACCAGAATCAAAACGGAAAAAGAATTTTTATGAGAATTAAATCGGTAATTAAAATGAAAACGGATTTTTATTAAATCGGTAATTAAAACCGAATCGAGTTTTTATGAGAATTAAATCCGCGGGATTTGTAACGGCTGTTTTTTCCCCTATAAAAACCAACACCTGCCGAGGGCTAATAACACAGATATTACAAACGAACTTCTCTTCTCTTCTTCTCTTTCAAAATATTTGCTATTATATTCTGTTGGTTCCCTGAAAGTCTAGAAGAGTTCGCAAAGTCTTCTTGAAGCTCGTGCCGACGAGAAGGAGGTCGCCTGACCGAGGGTCGTTGTATCTCCGGGAACTCTTACCACGTAGCCCTGTACGAGAGGGGGCAATTAGATTCTTGGGACAGTGCTTGCACGCCTCGACCATCAGGCCGTATTTCTAACTTTATTTACTTTTCATTTGATATATTTTTTATATCTGTGTTATGATAGTGATTATCTGTTAATTATTAAATTGCTTAAACTGATTTTCTTTATTGTCTAAACAGCTAATATTTCTAACATCTTTCACAATTTTGATGAAAAAATTGATATAGCACAAAGAGAATCCATAAGGTTTTAGTTCTCATACTTTTCCTAAAATAATTTCAACAATGAAAATATAGAAATTATACTTTTGGTGAAAAATGCAAATTCTTGCATTCTTGAGTCCTTAGTAAATTTTTTGTCTACTTATGTTGTTTTTGTTTTGTTTTGAGATTTGATGGGTATTGACTTTTGCATGTTATTACAGAAATTACATTTCATAGGTTAAGTTAAATCATATTGGGAGCAAGGACAATATTGTTCAATGCGGGATTACCAGAATGACCAACTAAATTACTGCTTTGATATAATGGGTTTGAATTGGTGTTGATGATTATTTTGAAATGTATTATATGGATTCCTTTGTACTGCGTTAGGATTGTTAATATAAGAAGCGAAGTCAGTCATATGATCAGTGAGGGGCCTGAACTTGGAATATACATTATTATATCATACGCTAGCTCCTTCTGAATAATTATACCTTATGGCTGCGTTTGGCAAGAGGATAAATGGGGGGTTAAGTGGGTTTAACCCTCCATTAGCCTGCTAAATAGGAAAAAAAGAAGAAGGGTTAACAAACCCGCACGTGAGTGTTTTATCCCATTTAACCCGTCACAACACGGGATAACTATTCCTCGTGAGAAGGCGGAACAAGGCTTGTTCCGCCTTCTCACAGGAGGGTAGACGAAGGAATTATGAGGGCAGTTATTTCATCTGGATCTCGTGAGGGAAAAATTTCCACTTACTTCTTTCCTTCTAAAATTTCCCCGCTAAAATTCCCACCCTAAAATTTTCCCCCAATCACTAGCTTACAACCTCCGGAACCTCCACGCCGAGCTCACCTTCGAGGTCTGCGAGGACCTCGACGACCTTACCCAATCTCCGGCCAGAGAAACCCCGCTGCTTGGCTCCCCCTACAAAGACAAAGGTCTCTTCACTTGCTTAGATCAATTTCCTGATTAGTTTGTCGACTCATAGCGGTAAGCTCCTTCTCCTTTCTCGTTTCATTCTAGGTTTTCGATTATGAATTTCATGCTAGAGTTTGATTCTCTTTGCCCTTTTCTCACCAAGGTAAAAAAATTAAATCTTATTTGTCATCAAGTCGATAACTACTATTTTGCATGAATTCGATTTGGATCTGAAAATTATGTATTCATTCTAGAGATTAGTTCTTTTGATTTTTCTTTTTATGATTTTGGTGATCTGGATTTATTCCCTTTAAAGATTGCCAATATATTATCAATTGTTGGTGAGCGTATTGGAATTTGAGAGGTTTGGAGGTATAATTAGAAATTTTTATTTCTTGTTAGTACAAGACTTTTAATTAGAAGTACTATCTTATTTAATATGCCAATTGCTTGACTACTTTATTGAGAGAAAGATGAATAAAAATTGCTTGCATTGGAAATATATATTTAAAGATATTACTAGTTTCATTTTCTTTGAAGTGAAAAAATTTTATTCCATCACCAAAATGAAGAATTATGTACAACAAAGATACTGAGCATAGAAACAGAGCTCAGCTACACAAAAACTCCTCAAGGAGTAGAGAGAATATCATCAACCCCTTATTTTCCACCGCAAACACAAAACCTGCACAATTATGTTACTGTTTGTGCACTTCCTTAACCTCTGTAATATATCAGCGCAAGGAGAGAATCCAATCTGTCTTCATCCGAAGGGGAGTTATTCAACAAAGCAACTAGGATATCCATCTTAATATTCCTGAGAACAACATCAGGGGATCTATTCTTCAATGTGAAAATCCTGTTATTCCTCTCTTTCCAAATATTATATACTGCAGCTGCTAATGCCATTCTTTTAATTTTTTGTTTAATTCCATTTCCCCTTAGTCTGAAACTGTACCAGTTCAGTAGTGCAGTCCAATTGCAAGATCTCCATTTGAATTTGAGCCATTCCATAATACCATTCCACACATAATTTGATAGTTTGCACTCAAAAAAGAGGTGATTTCTGCTCTCTGATGGACCATCACACAGTTTACAGACAGAAGCTTGTATAATCCCATGCTTGAGAAGTCTGTCTTGAGTTTGAAGCTTATCATTGACTGCCAGCCACAAGGTAAAAGAGTGTTTAGGAATGCTCAAGTTTTCCCACACAGTATTGTGCCATGCCACACATGTTGTATCAGGTGATAAACTGGAATAGAGACTAGATATCTGGACTTTAGAATTGACACAGCAAGAATTGATAAGCTGTTTGAGATTTTCAGTCCCTCCACACAACTCAAGGCATTTATCTCTGATTTTCAAAAGCTGCTTCCACATCCAAGAATCCCCCTTCTTAGGATTTATATGCCATATGCTGCTGTTTTTAATGTAGTTCTCATGAGACCATTTAATCCATAATTGCTCCTTATTCATGTGAATACTCCAAAGAATTTTGAGAGCTGCAGCAGTGTTCCAAAGCCTAGCTGAGAAGATTCCCAATCCTCCATTTTTCTTATGTACACAGACTTTACTCCATGATACAAGAGCTGATTTGAAAGTTTGATCTGATTTTCCCCATAGAAAGCTCCTACATAACTCATCAATTTTTTGAAGCACTTTAACAGGGAGGATGTAACTAGATGTCCAGAAAATTTGCACTCCCAAGATAACACTCTTGATAATCTGAATTCTACCAGCATATGACAGATTTTTATTTTTCATACAGCTCTGGAATTGATTGGAAATTTTCAGAAGTAAAGGATTGCAATCAATGAAAGACATTCTTTTGCAAATAAGAGGGAGCCCCAGATATCTGATTGGCAGTTTACCTTCACAGAAGCCCAGGGAGTTGTTAATCATCTGCTTAGTATCTTCAGAGACCCCGCCATAAAAAATAGAACATTTTGAAGGATTTGCCTCTAGTCCAGAGCAATCACCAAAGGATTTAACACATTGAAAGAGTTTATTCACTGAATAAGAGTCCCCTTTGCAGAAAAGAAGGAGGTCATCTGCAAACACAAGGTGTGTAATTTTTAATTTTTTGCACTTGGGATGAAATTTGAAATTTTTGTCATTCTTCAGCTGGTTCAAGCTTCTTGTCAAATATTCCATACCAAGAATGAAGAGGTAGGGGGAGAGAGGATCCCCTTGCCTTAAACCTCTTCCTCCTTTAAAGAACCCATGCAGACTACCATTCAGGGAGACAGAATAGTTAGGTGAAGAGATACAACTCATAATCCATTTAACAAATACCAGAGGGAAACCCAGACCTGTCATTATGTCCTGCAAGAAGTCCCAGCTAATAGAATCAAAGGCCTTTCTTATATCTATGTTGATCATCACCCTTGGTGATAGGTGTTTCCTTCCATAATTTTTCACAAGCTCATGTGCAAGTAAGATATTATTTGATATTTGTCTACCTTTCACAAAAGCACTTTGAGCTTCATTGACTAAACTCCCAATCACAGCCTGAATTCTAGTTGCCAGAATTTTTGAAATGATTTTATAGAGGCAATTGCAACAGGATATAGGTCTGAAATCTGCTGGAGTTTTAGGACATTGCACCTTTGGAATGAGTGTAATTGAAGTGGAATTTATAGCTCCCAATAACTTTCCTGTTCTAAAAAATTCACCAACTGCTAGAATAATTCCATCCCCAATGATGGACCAAGCAGATTTATAAAAGGATGCACCAAACCATCAGGGCCTGGGGCCTTGTTATCTGACATTGAGAAGATTGCACTTCTTATTTCATCACTTGTGACTGGTTTAGATAGATCACTGACTTGGAAAGGACTCAGACATGTTCCATTTTGAATAACATGGCTCTCAGTTTTTACAGTAGGAATGGCAGTCCCCATCAAGTTTTTATAGTAAGAGATGAACTCTTTAATTATCTCTTCACCATCAGTAATTCTATCTCCCTGACTATTATATAGTACTTGTACTCTATTGTTATGTCTGTTGTTTTTGATGGCTGAATGAAAAAGCTTAGAATTTCTATCACCTTGAATGTACCAGGCAGTTCTTGCTTTCTGTTGATAGAAAGAGATTTCATGATCTAAAAGCTTTGTATATAATGCAACTGATTTTCTTTCCTAACTGATCAGAACAGAATTGAGGGGATCATCTTGAATTTTCCTTTGAATTACCTCCATCTCTGTCTTTGCTCTAATGACTTGTTCACTAATATTACCAAAATGTCTTCTGTTCAGTGACTTCAGAGCTCCTTTCAACATTTTAAGCTTAGAATAGACAGAGTACATATGAAATCCATTGATATGAGTTTGCCAGATACTAGATACAGTGGTAGAGAAATCATCATGCTTTGTCCACATATTAAAAAACCTGAAAGGCTTTTTACCATAGGAGGGGTCATCATAAACTGAGACAATAGCTGGGGAGTGATCAGATAATCTGGGCACCATATATTCCACATGACTAGAGTTAATATGTTGAATCCAATTGTCATTAACTAGAGTCCTGTCCAGCCGACTCCAGACTCTAGAATCCTTGTCTTGTTTGTTGTTCCATGTAAAAAAACACCCTATTGTTTTCAAGTGAGTGAGCTGGCAATCATCAATAAAAGACCTGAAATCTATAGTATCAGCATCAGTTAATGTTGAGCCACCAAGCTTCTCACCACTGTCAACCATAGCATTGAAATCTCCACATATAATCCAAGGCAGGTTTCCTACAGATCTATGAATAAGAGTTAATTCTTCCCATAAGCTTTTTCTATCTTGGATATTGTTGTAACCATATACTGATGATATGATGCATGAAAGTCTACCATCAATAGAGTTAACCTTGCAGGTAATCTGCTGGCTAGAGAGGCTCATCTGTTGAATACTTAGGATATTGGGATCCCACAGTATGAAAATCCTAGCCTTCTCTGAATTATTCACATTTGAAAGCCAATCCCATTCTTTAGCAATTCTTTTCGCAGCATCTTTGATATTAGATTCCTTAATCTTTGTTTCCAGGAGAGAGATGAAAGGTAAATGATAAAGCTGAAGATGTTGCTTAATCATCAATTGTTTAGAGGGTTTATTTAACCCTCTCACATTCCAAAAGGATAAGTTCATTTGAAAAGCAATTTCCCTCTATCAATAGAAGAGGGGTCATCATCTAAATCCATCAGAGATAGGAAAGAAATACCTGAATTCTTACTATTAGCCAATCTGGTATTGGTAGCAGGATTTTCACCAACCTGAGAAAAACCACTTGAGGAGTTGCCAGACAACTTAGATTTAGTACCTTGAGCTGGAATCCAGGGGTTGAATTCATAAGAACTTACAGGCACAGGAAGTTGCATGTGCACAACATGCACAACACCTCCAGCTTCCTTACCCTGACCAAGAACTAGCCTTGTATTTACCTGATGTGGGATTTCACTTTGCTTATTCAAATTTGGAAATATATATTTAAAGATATTACTAGTTTCATTTTCTTTGAAATTTAAGTTTGTGGTTCTTCTTCTTATCTTTATGCTATTGGTTTTATTCATTGCTCGTCTTATTAAGTTTCAATGCTCTTCCATCATTTGTTATTTTCCTTAGGCATGTAGGTCTATGTAGGCATAGTAAGTTTGGCTACTCTCTCACTCATTGTATAGAATCTTCAAGTTTAGTTGGCGTTCCAAAGGTGTTTGTTATAATTTCTCACTAAGAACTTGGACCAAAATTACCTCATTTGATAATTTCATAGTTTTGCTTAATTATATTAATGCTTGTGCTTTTAGAATTTATATATCACATATATCAGACTAAGTTTAATGTTGGCTGTCAACTTATGAAGTTAAATTAAGATTATATAGATATTTTTCAGAGATTACAATAATGAACAATTACACCACTTGTTTCCTTAGTAGCAAACATTTTAGAAACTTATGAAGTTTATCATGTTCTGCCCAACTAAGCTATATACATATTGTTTTCCTGTTTCGTCCATAACTTAGAACAGGAGATTACTGTAGCATTGAATTTTTTTTTATTTTCAAGTATTGAAAAGAATGTGTTGTGATTATTATAAGCTTAATTAAAAGCGGAACTCTCAATCTAGTACAAAAAATTTAGGAAAGGAAAAAAGGATTTTTGCAATGTAGTCTATCTACAAATGATAATGACTTTTCATATAGTTCATAAAAATCAACTTTCATGCCTTTTTTAATGACATCTTTATTTTCCTTTATATTTTCACTTATTATCTTGTGGGATTGTAGGACATTGTAAATCTTTGAATTTTAAAGTAATTAGGTGAAAGTTCTTTTGAATATGTATGTGTGTAGTCATGTCTTAATGCATAGTCTTGCTTAATGCCTTTTTCTATACATGTAGGTGTAGGCTGTCTAAAAATCATTATAGATAGATGATCCTCATCAAACATCAATGATGGAAGTTACAACATGACGACTTCCATATCAACAGATGAAGTTTCAGCTCGTGAAAAATTATTGCAAGATCAACTTGAACTTCTGCAACAGTTTGGGCTGGACCTGCTTCTTGTTTTAACACAGGTTTGATTCGTTTGAATATCTAAAAAATTATTTATTATTTATGGCCAACTACTGTTATATGTTTTCAGTTGACATTCATATCTTTTTTCATTAAATAGATATATGGCTCCAGCGTCAATCGTCCAGTTCGCCATAAATGTCTATCTGTAATTGGAAAGCTTATGTATTTCAGCTCAGCTGATATGATCCAGTCATTACTTAGTGTAACAAATATATCTAGATAGTGATCCATTTACATGTGTTTAAATTATGTAAGATATTTAGAGATTGTGAAAAGAGCTCGAGAACTTTGTGCTGAATGTATGTCATTTGTTGTTTAGCTTTTTAGCAGGTGTTCTGGCATGGAAAGATCCTCATGTTTTGATCCTTGCTCTTCAGATAGCTAAAATTTTTATGGAGAAGCTTCCAGGAACATTTTCCAAGATTTTTGTTAGGGAAGGAGTTGTTCATGCTGCAGATGCATTAATATGTCTTGATTCTTCAACTGTAGTTCCTTCTCAAACATCCTTTGAAAAGGACAATGATCCTTTGCCTCGAACAACTTCCCGTTCTCGTCGACGGATAACCAGACATTATAAACTTGTTTGTGCAGAAATAATTGGTTGCAAACTCTTTATTTGAATGACATAGAAGTTTGTTTTACCCCCTGAAGGCTTGATTCTTCTTTTGTTATACTGCTGGAAGATACTAAGAGCAAAGAAAATGGTCGTCAACATGTGCCAAGACTTTTGCTTATCAATCTCTGGAGATGAATCATGAAATTCTAAAATTCATTCCAAATACAAATTGTTGTATCCAAATTGTATATTGTTCCCCTTTCTCCAGAAAAGTGTGATTTACATTTATATCCAAACACAACGCAAATGAAACAGGTGGTGAACAAAATGTTTATTTATTTGCATGTTATTGTTTATTCTTGTTGCCTTTATATATATATATATATATGACACTTTCTTTTTAATAAAAGTTGTATATATCGGAATATTCTAACAGGCATGAACAACTACTATGATTTCTTTATCTTCATCAGAAGATTTGCTTCAATTCGACCCTCGACAATCTACGAAACCATGGCGAAGCATTCCTTTGTCCAAGCAAAGGCTAACATTCTTATTAGTAAGCTTCCATCAATTCGTAAGGTTGCCTGGAGAATGGTATCAATTGACGCTGCAGCAGAAGAGAAGTCTGTGTTTATTTAGCCTAATTTTTTTTTGATTAGGTAATTATTTATAAATCTCCAATAAGGACGAAACTGGTATTTTTAAAAAAGTAATGAGATTAATCTTCTTAACCCCTCTTCATTTGCCAAACACAAAAGACTTAACCTCTTGTTTTAACTATCGTATCCAAACGGGTTTAGAATTTTTTTAACCCTTCACGATGGATTAACTAAGTTAACCCTTCTCTTTAATCCCTCCTGCTTAACCCTTTGCCAAACGGGGCCTATGAGCTTCATGAATTGTATCATGGTTACTACCTTATTTTACGCAGTTCTTATAGGCAGTTCACCGCATTTTCTTTTAGTTCTTCATATTTATGAAATAATTTTGAGGCTTATTTATTTCTTCTTGCACCCATACAGGATGTACTACTTGATTGTTTCCTTTCATGCATGTACCAGTCCATGTTTTAAGTAATATTATGTTATCGATAATAAAATTGGTGTACACTTATGTGCCCTTAATCAATTCATTTCATGAACAAAGGTGCAATTCTTAAGGCTTGTTTGTATATTCATAATGATTATTTTTACTCCATAAAGAAGTGTCGCTATTGCATTTAGATTTAAGGATGTCTAACCCATTATTTTGCCATGGATCACATTCTCATGCATTGACCATGCACGGATCGTCATATCAGTATTATATGGGATCTGTTTTTGTTATTGGGCTCATTAGATCAAATAGTAAAGGAAACAATTTATTGAAATTTAAATACTTGAAGTTTTTACAGGTTTGAGTTGCCACGGAAAGTGAAAATCTCAAAATGAGTCAAGTGACTTATACTCATTACGAAGAACATGCAAATTAATCCTCTATAAGTAACATATACATGGCTACCACATATGTGTTGTTTGCACGATTTTGTGCAAGCGTGACAAGTATCATTAGGTATTATTTGGAATATGTATATATTATGTAACATGGATGTCATATGTTTTCAACTATATGTGTTCTTTGATTGATTACAGATATTTTCGAATGTTGGCATCAACTACATTTAATTTTGCAATTAATTCTCTTATTCTATGTTGTTTCAACTATCGATATATTTTATTTAAATGATTAGCAATGTTCTTCAATGTTAAGTAATGTTGAATTTGCATGAATTGTATTTAAATTGTTTTAAGTTTATCCTTTTTCTCTTATGTTGCGTACATGTGATTTGAAATGTAGATGACATAACTTTGTGAGTAGTTTACGATACTTAGTTTGTTTTTATTGAAAGGCATGAACAATTGTGATTTTAATTTTTTTTTCTTGGTAGAGAATTTTATAAAATAATGATATTTGTTTATTTTCAAAAGAGCTGCAAGCTCATTATAAGCAAATCAGTGCATTACAAAAGAAAGGAAGTATGTGGAATCAGGGTTGCTTAAAACGGTAAGGAGCGAACCTTGTCGTCACCTATCAAAAGACATCAACGAAGCTTATATATATTCTTACTATATAGTTTTACTCGCTTATATATATTCTTACTTTTCCGCAACATTTATATACTCTGAAAGTCTATGATAGGTATGTAATACATTTTTTATGCTAACTTGAGAATTTCTATCGGAATCTCATGATGTGAGACTTACATGTTAACATTATAACATCCTAACTATGTTTACTGAATTTGCTATTAAGTATATTCCAATTACATTTCAAAATTAATTGAGAATTTTAGCAGGTCTAATAACAATTTAACAAATCTTAATGGCAAAAAAGGCTCCTTACAATGTGCATAACTTGTGGGAACATTAGGGTGTAAATTTTTATGGTTACACATATAGAGGGTGCTAATGTGTCAATCATAAAGTGCTACACAAAACTACTATGTAAGATTTAATTGTTACAACAAACTCACTACATTCAAGAGTTCAATGGAGTTTCATGTATGGAGGCCAACTCAAGTAAATGCCCTATATTCTTGAGTGGGATTGAAGAAAACTTGAAGACTCATATTTGCACATATTTAAACTTCTCAGAGGGTTCATTACTAATGAGGTATTTGGGAATGACATTGATCTCTAAGAGACTCTCTTACCTAGATTGCTCACCATTGATTTCCAGAATTTCTGAGCAGTTTCGAAGTTCGCAATATAGGAGAAACTTGTGATATGCTGGAAGGAATCAATTAATCAAATCTATTACTTTGGGGATGCAAATCTACTGGACAAGCAACTATATTCTGCTGATTAAGGTGTTAGGAAAAATTGATAAGTTATGCTCTGCTTTCTTATGGGGTAGCAAAATTCATCTTGTTTCCTGGACTAAGGTTTGCAAGGACAAAATTTTAGGAGGGTTGAGGCTCTTCTCTGCTAGGAATTGGACCTATGCAACTGCTATCAAATTGTTGTGGATGATACACACTAAAAAAGTTTTATTGTGGATTAAATGGGTGCATGGTAACTACTTACACCATTTGGACATTTGGCAGATTCAACCAAAGGAGAATGACTCATGGATGTGGATGCAACTTCTCAAGGTGAGGGATATGACTATGAGAAAATTTGGGAATGCGGATAATCTGCAAAGAGCTACCATTGGCTGCTACAATAATGGCAGAATTTAGGTTTCTTCTATTTATAGAGCATTTTCTCAGTCTACAGTTGTTGTAGCTTGGTCAGATACAGCATGGGGAGGCTTGCATTACCCTAAACATTCAGTGATATTATGGCTAGCAATTCTCTCCACGCTCCTGACTCAAGATAGGTTGTGCCGCATGGGAATACTGGACATCAACCAGTGTGTTTTGTGTGCAAACGTTAATAGTCATCTAGAAACTTCCAAACAACTATTCTTTGAGTGTCGATATTCATCTTATGTCTGGAATAAAGCGATGACATGGTTAGATTATTCTTGGAGATCATGTAGCTAGAATCAAGTAATAGATTGGTACAACAATAACTTGAAGGGATTGGGATTCATAAAGAAGTTGAAGAGAATGACATTATCGGGGACAATTTACTGGATATGGAAGGAGAGGAACTTGAGGATCTTTCAACAAAAATTTCGTGAGCCTGATCAGATATTCTAAGAAGTGAAGATCTTTATCCTCTTAAAAGTTTTTAATGAAGTAATTCCTGAACATATGAGAGAAAAAATTGAGAAACTGTTAGTTTTTAGATGTTTTCAGTTTAACTGTTTGTTTGCCAGGATATCTTCTGGTAAAATTTTGATGTACCCTCAATTTCAAAATTTGGTAAATGAATAAAATTCTTTTTCATTGAAAAAAAAAAGAAAGAAAACAAACTCACTACATCTCATATAGAATTTATATGTTTGTCAAATTAATGAAGATCCAACGAAAGTATTGATGTAAAAGCACAAAAGAATGAACAAAAGAATTAGAGAAACCTCTTGAACTTTACAAATTAGCTATCCTCTTTCATGATTGTAAAACTACCATGAAAAATTAGAAAATTTCATTATTTCATCAAATAAATGCAAAAATACCACATACCATTAGAAAAGTTCATAATTTCATCTATGCGAAGGATAAATGATACATATTATAATTAAAAACAGGAGGAAGCAAGAAAACGAAAAAAACAAATATTAAAAGGACAATTGCTCAAAGGTTTTATCATATAAAAGGTCATGACAGCATTTGGCAACTGCTATAGTGCACAATATTTCGATTGTTATCACATGAAAGAATCCACCCTCCCTCCCTCCTCCTCAGAGCCAAAGCTAAAATGTCTACAGGAACACGTCAACAGGCTAAAATCCCTCCCACCCGCGGGGTAAAGAACGAAAAGAAAAGAAAAATCAATAAGTAAGCCAAAAAATCTCACGCAAGAGAAATTATTTGCTGTCTGTTCTACGTCACACAGCAAATCCTAGACACCCGTTCGGCACAACTTTCCATGTTCCTTCCCTCACCCGCACCCGCACCCGCTTGATTCGCCGGCCCCCTCCTACTTCTCTGTCAAAATCTCAACCGTCAAATTCCCCAAAAGTATCTACACCCTCCAATCTCTCCAATCTCTTCAAACCAACAGTGCCTAATTACGTCAATATTCGTGCTCGTCCGATGCAAAGAACCCGCTCCTACCTTCAAATGGAAACAAATAAATAATAGACTCAATCCGCATAAACCGAGTATACGAAGAGAATCATCCACCGTTAATCAAGAACATCAACGGTTCATATTTATTCTTTACCGTGCGAAATTAGGCGGATAGCTATTATTGTAGGGGTCAACGTTGGAAATAAAAAGCCCTAAAGGTTCCCGTTGCCCTCCGCCTCTCTCATTAGGTCTCCGTATAAAGAAGAACGAGAGGCTGAGCAAAATCCTCAGATCTCACAGAGACATCCTCGCGATTCTCCAGGGGTAAGATATTTTTCGACATTTTCTCGCATTTTCTTGGCTTGATATCTGATCTTATCGTTGAAATCGCAATCCATTTTGTGTTTTTTCTCGCCATTTCTTTCGGTTTCGTGTCAGATCTGAAGCAGATGGATCAGATCTGACCATTTTGATCAGTTCTTGCGTTTGGATCTCAGAATCTCGTAGATCTGTTGATGTTATACGTAGTTCTTTGATTAATGGAGTGTTTATAGATCTAATATTGCTTTAAGGATTGTAAAATATCTGATTAGATTCTAGATCTGTGCTTTAATCTGTTTACTGATGGTTTTATGTGTTGATGTTCGTAGATTTGTTGTTCATTTGCTATCTATTTACAATCTGAGTTTTCTTCTGATTACTAGAGTTCTTATCTTTTCGGTAAAAGTTCTATTTTACCTCACGATTATTTTTAGAAATCTATCAATGACTGTAAGTTATGTTTACATTCTTGCCTAGCAGGTTTTTTTTTGCTGACATTTAGCACCAAATATAATAGAATTATGATATAAGACTGTATTTTATTACAAGGATTAAAATTTATCACATTTTATTAATTGCTCATGCTTCATTTTTAGGCTCGCATGAATCTATACTTTCTGTTATACTACAGGCTACCTAAATTTCTAAATATATTTCGCGAATATCATTTAACATGCTATTCTCAGTTGTGCTGTTTTATTGTTTTGAACGTTTTCTTATCATGGGTTTATGTTTTCTCTTTGTAGATGTCTAATCAATTCTTTCATTACACTGGATAAAAATTCTAGCAACATTTATCCATATGTACAGAAAATTATCCATATGTGTTCTTACTGTCATTTAGAATTCTTAGTGTTTGGTGCCTTAATACTTGTGAGAGAGTTTATTATTTTGGAAATTTATCCATATGTGTTCTCATTGTCACTAAGATATATGTAGTTTTGAAGGCATTGGATAATGATGTTGAGTTTTATTCGACCTGCAATGGAATGCATGCTCTCATATACAAAAAAGTTGCAAAATGAATTGTGATCCTCATCGTATTTTCATTTTTAAGTTCTCAGCCCTTTAACCTCGAGGAGTTTAGAGAGAAAATGCTGGATCTTAAGGAAGTTCTTTTAGTGATAATATTTGTATTATTGCTTATCAGATAGACCTTTTAGTTTTCTTGGTTTATGGTATGTTTTTGTCAGTCTCTTGTCTTGTCCTGTGAATATAAAGATTCTTTCTTATATTCTAACTAATTTTAAGCCCACAAGTTGCTGCATGTATTGTTTACTAAGGTATATCTATCGTCAAATTGATAATATAGTGTATATATATAACTATTTACAAAAATTTCAGCGATAAGTTAATAAAATAATATTATACCAATTAGCAACTTTTATCATTTTTTTAGTAGAGCTAGAAAAGATCCACATGTGAAATGTCTGACAAAGGTTCAAAGCATCATCATCTGCAAGGAAAAAAAAAAGTAGATATGAACACTGTTTACAAGGTTTAGAAATTTTACTTTGGTTTGACCGGGGACAAATTGACCCAAAAATTTACTGTAGCAAGGAAGTGAAAAAGATGCAAAGCTGTACCAGTTAACAAAATGAAAACAGTAGATATAACTAGCTAAATTGAACGTGTGTATTGCACGTGAGCCAAAATAGAAAATTTAGCTATGTACTTTGAAAAAAATTAACAGAGACCGTTTTAAAAAATATATCATTTTATTAGAGTGATGGATATATATCAACTTTAGCACAATGTTATTCTCATATAATATTTGGTTTATTTTTTGATTTAAATGTTGACATATAATATTTTTATTTATTTAATTGAATTCTTTTTGCTTCTATTGTTTTGTATCTTTATTTCTTTTTTCTATACTATTTTAATTATCATTGATTTAGATGCAAAAAATTACTTATGTCACTTTTATTAACTCTTATCCAATCGATCTCCAGTCATTCAAAATTTAGTACTAACTAAAGTATTTTGTTGTTTTAGATTTATGAATTTATTACATGTACAATCTCTAATATTCTATATCTTATTTATTATTTGGTTGTAAATTTAAATTGTTTATTGACTTGGCTGAGAGAGAGAGCATTTAATGAGGGAAGGATATGGACAAAATGTCCATTTGTTTAAAATTACCAAATTGAAAACCAAGAATTTCCCTAAAGACTAACTATGATTGGAGGGTTTGTTTTAGATTATGAATATGTTACATTTACGGTCTCTATTATTAAATGTCTTATTTATAATTTAGCTGTAAATTTAAATTGTTTGTTGACTTGTTTGAGAGAATTTCCTTTTGTTTATAATTACCAAATTGCCCTAGAGGAACCAAGAATTCCCCTAATGCTTTGTTTGGGAGTTTACTAAGGGAAAGGACGGAAAGTTAAATAAGGGAAGGGACGGAAAGTTAAATAATGGAAAGGAAAGGTAGGGAATGGAAGCAAAAAGATGAAATGTTATTTGGGTGTTTAGTAAGGGGAATAGAAGTAAATTTATTTTATCTTGTTTGAGAGTTCTAATAAAGAAGAGGGAAGTGAACTGAATATGTATAAAGCTACATAAATACCCTTACATATTAGATAAGAGTATATCTTAACCATTGATTTTAATGTCATAAGGGTATAATTGTCTTATCACATTGTAAAATTTTCCATTGGTTTCCATTCCATCCTTTACCCTTCCATCCTTTACCCTTCCATCCCCCCCCCCCCAAAAAAAAAAAAAAAAAAAAACCTCCCAAACAAGGTGATATTGAAATTTCACTTTAACTTTCATCCATTAACCTTCATCCAAACAAGGTGTAAAAGACAAACTATGGTTGGAGGAAATTTTCCCCATTTCTCCACTTCAATCTACCCCCTAAAGTTTTTATAAAGTAGTATAGATTTAGGAAATTTCCCAGTTTTATATGATCTCTATACTTCTAGATGGACATAGACAAAATTTCCTTTTGTTTAAAATTACCAAATTGCCCTAGAGAAACCAAGAATTTCCCTAAAAGACAAACTATGGTTGGAGGATTTTTTTCTTGTTCCTCCACTTTAATCTACGTCACTAAGTTTTTATAAAGTAGTATAGCTTTATAAGTTTTTTTCTCTCCAGTTTTATATGATTTCTATATTTTAGAATCATGTTACCTTCGTGCTGTTTGGATGTTGATTTATTGGTTTGTGTTATTTAGCTTTTGTTATAGTAAACATATTGACTATGTATCTATTGTTTTATCTTATAAACATTGATTCCCCAATACATGGATACAATAGTGTTATTTTTTCAATCTCCCAATTGTTTAGTTTTTATTAGAGTAAACCTATTGACTATGTATTGTTTGATCTAATTAACATTGATTCTTCTGTATATGGATACAAAGTTTTTTTTCAACTTCCAAAATAATGTTGAATTTTTTGCATTCTTGATTTTGTCATATTTATGTGTCAAATTTTTTAGGTTAATCGGTGGACTGACCAATGGCGGATCAAGTTAGCCACCCGACTGTTTTCCAGAAGATGTCAGGCCAGTTTCATCTAAGTTCTAGTTATCCCCGTCAGAATGTCTACAGGCCTTCCATGTATGAGAGACGCATTTCAACTAGCTCCTATGTGAACGGGGGCTTACAAATGCCTTTGAGAGGCTCTGAGTTTTCTATGGTGCCAACTGTACCCCAAGTGTATGCTCATGCACCAGCAGAGAAAAGTTTTGTGGTTGATTTCCTCATGGGTGGAGTATCTGCTGCTGTCTCCAAAACCGCGGCTGCTCCTATTGAGCGTGTGAAGCTTCTTATCCAGAATCAAGATGAGATGCTCAAGGCTGGTCGTCTATCTGAGCCATACAAGGGAATTGGAGAATGTTTTAAGCGAACAATTAAGGAGGAAGGATTTGGCTCTTTGTGGAGAGGAAACACTGCTAACGTTATCCGTTATTTCCCAACTCAGGTGAATACAACAGACCTGCTGTATATATTATTTCTTTGGGGAGATGAAATACTGTTATTTTTATAGTTTTTTTTCTTGAAACTTAAAATGCCAAGGAGGTCCATCTTCTCCCTCCTTTTGGGATTCAAATATCTTTTAGTTCCTATTTTCATTTTTTTAATTAATGTCTGATTCATTTCTGAGTTGCTATCAATGTAGACTTGGTTTCTTGGCAACTAGCACTTGCAAGTCACAACATGAACTTTTTTCCGAATTGTCCTCTCTTTGTTTTTTATTAATTAATGCAGTTCTACTTTTTTCCGATTTAAATTGACTTTGTATTTGGTCTTCATTAAATTGGTTACTGAATTTTTATTGCGTAGTCTTTGTTATTATTTGATGAATTGGTATAGGCCTATAGGGTTAGTTCTATGCTTTCCTTTTCTAAAATATCTCTCAACTAAACTAACTTCCAGCTTTTTTTTTCTGTTCTGTTAGGCATTGAACTTTGCATTCAAGGATTACTTCAAGAGGTTATTTAATTTCAAGAAGGACAGGGATGGTTACTGGAAGTGGTTTGCTGGAAATCTTGCTTCTGGTGGTGCTGCTGGTGCCTCTTCCCTATTGTTTGTTTACTCACTGGATTACGCTCGTACCCGTTTGGCTAATGATGCTAAGGCTGCGAAGAAGGGAGGGGAGAGACAGTTCAATGGTCTCGTTGATGTTTACAAGAAGACGCTGAAAACTGATGGCGTTGCTGGACTGTACCGTGGCTTTAACATTTCCTGCGTTGGAATCATCGTTTATCGAGGACTTTATTTTGGATTGTACGATTCTCTCAAGCCCGTTGTTCTTACTGGAAAGCTGCAGGTATGTTTTCCCTTCGCATGTCGTTGTTTTTTTTCACGTAATGCAGCCTCTGATTATTTTGTTCAGTTATTCAGTTATTTAGTTTTAGTAGACTAGTTTTAGTTTGTGTTCTCTTTTGTGGTTGTCTTTTTCACGTAGTTAATGCAGTCTCTGATTGTCTTGTTCAGGTATTTTGTTTTTTTAGTTTTAGTAGATATGTATGTCGAGATCTGCATGTAGGCTTCCACTTAGGGTTTTTTCTCACGTTGAGATTTCACAAGACGGTATTCCATATTGGCTTTCTAGTAGGATTTACTTAAAACCATTAGCAGGGTTCTCTTTGATTTTTGTCTATCTAGCATTATTCTTTATACATCCGACATTGGTCCATGTTCTTCTGCAAAGGTAACCTACGTATTTTTGTTCTTAAATGTAATGTAAGTAGTGATATATTTTTTTGATCTTTAATCCAGCTAACCCGATTTAGGTTATGTTTTTTGTGTTGGATACTGAGGTTGATATTTTTATTTGTTCCTTTATTTTTTTTGTTATCTCAAACTGTTAGTGATGTGTTTTTGTTTGGATAAATTCGTAAGATACCAATATATTATCATGCTATAATGACAAATAAAAAAGGAAAAACAAAAGGAAAAAAAATATCGTTATGCACATCTAAATGAAAAACCATTATAGTATAAAGGTTGAGACCTAAAAACATGTAGGATCCTGTCTAACTTATTATTTTTATGCTCGACGCCGCATTTTCCCAACTCCGAGATTGTAAATTTGGGCTGAAGAAGTACTCTTTTGAGTTGCATCTTCTAAAAAATTGCAACAATTTAAACCTTTTTCTTTTTTACTAGAAGATAAAGTTTTTAACTAAATTTTTAATATATAAAATTGCTTTTTTAAAGTATGACTTGCCTCTAATACGTAACTATCTTTGATAAATACAGGACAATTTCTTGGCTAGCTTCGCTTTGGGTTGGGTAATCACCAACGGAGCTGGACTCGCATCCTACCCCATTGACACGGTCCGTAGAAGAATGATGATGACCTCCGGAGAAGCCGTAAAGTACAAGAGCTCTCTTGACGCCTTCCAACAAATTCTCAAAAACGAGGGTCCCAAGTCTCTATTCAAGGGAGCAGGTGCCAACATCCTCCGTGCAATTGCCGGTGCTGGTGTGCTCTCTGGTTATGACAAGCTGCAGTTACTTCTCTTGGGAAAGAAGTACGGTTCTGGTGGAGCTTAAGTAGTGTTGCATTCGCCGAATCGATGGTGATGAAAATTAAAACTTCAGATTTTCGTTCTGAGTTTTAGGATTTTCTTAGGATGAATTCAAGTTCTTAATAATTTTTTTCTCTACGAGGGGATTTCTCCCTTAAAATTTTTTGCTATGGAGATTTAGTTCTCTGAAACTTCATTTTACTACTGTTGGAGCATGCGGTAACTTTCTTTTGTTGCGGGAGTCAAATGTCTAAGACTATTTATTAATACATAGTAATATCACTGCGAAGTTTTATTCAATTAAAAAGCTTTCTGTGTTGGTCTTTCCTATTTTGTGTTCTGTCACATAATCTAGTTGCTGTCTCTTTATCCTGTATTGAATCCAGATCCGGAATCCACAGTTTTTGTTTACTTAAGTTTGTGTTGTTTGAAGTTGAAGCTGCAGTTTACCTTCAGTTTTGCTCATGTTCATAATAAATTTATTCTCTCTTGTTTCGTTTCAGCTTCGCCTTTTTTTTCTTCCAAATACCTGAGCTGAACATGCTTGTCCTTGCTCCTGCACAACTTACTATGACTTCGCAATGATTATGATAGAAATAATCTATAGCCATCTGCGGTCGCATATAACATTTATTCATAAACATGTATTATTTATTTATTCCAATAGAGCATAACACTTCGAGGACCTGAACTCTTTACAAAGTGCAACTATTGTCATCCTCCCAGTGTAGATCACAGACTTTGTTATAGTATATGCATATACTCATCCTCTACACTCAAGACGGGACATGGGTTTTAAGGGCACTTCTTCTTGCCACCATGCGTAGTTAAACTGGCGTAACAAGGACACTGCTGATAGTTGCCCGAGGTGCCGGAGGGCACGCAGTTGCATCTTGCGCAGCAACTCCCACATGCTCTCTTGCAAAGGTTTGGTCTTGAAGATGCCGAGCACCTCCCTCCGCATGCGGCACCACAGTCTGAAATACAGTCATGACAGTTCTTATTTATGTATACATTCTTATTCGCCAGTCATTCATTTTTTTCTTTTTGATTTTTGGGTTAATTGTGGATATATCCCCTATGATATTATAGCTGTTTCGGACTAACAACCAGTCCGGTTTTACTGTTGTAGATAAACCCCTTGAGTGAATTTAGAGTAATTTGTCTCTTAGACCCCTTTAAGGGCAAAAGAGTCGAAAAAATTCAACTCGGAAGGTTTATCCGGGACAATAGAGCTAGAGGGGGTAGTAAGTTCAAAGAACGAAATTGGAGGGGGTCTAGCTGCAAGTAACTTTTTTTATTACATCTGTATGTTTAGTATTTAGCATTCTGATCCCTATAACATAGTTGGTCTTATAGTCTAAAACGCAGTCAATAAAATACGTATGGAACATTTCATACTTTTCAACACGATAAGAGAGAAAATTCCTGTATAAATGGCAGACCTATGAGTTCTTTCTTGCAGGCTCTATAATACACGGATCTGAACATCCTTTAATCTTTCCAACAAAAAAAATTACTGCAGGGTGTTGGAAGTACTCACCTATGGTAGCCAACAGAGACCTCCTCGCTGGTTTGTTGATACCCTGAAATCAAGATATCAGTGTATTAAGTAACCTTTGGAGTGAGCTATAAGGGGGATTTTACTTAATTTGTCGTTCTTACTCAAATAAATTCAAGCTCACATAAAATTTTGAAACTTGGTTCATTAATTATCATTTGTTACGCTCACCTTCGCAAATCCCGTCTCAGCCACGGTGCTTGCGGCTGCGTCGACGGCGTTGGAAGAAAGAAGAAGCGCAGATATGAGAAGGGAAGTTAGAAGAGCTCTGGAGGAAGCCATGAGAAATGCTTGGAGAGTGAAAAGAGTGAGAGTGAGGGGGTGATGAATGTTGAGGAGAAGTGTGGTACTTATACAGGGAAAAGGGGAAAAAAGGGGAAGGTATGGGAATCACGCGGGAAATCAATGGAAGTGGAGGGAGGTGGGGCCGGGTGCACAATTTGTCAGAATTGTGAAGAGTTTGGGCACTTGGATGGTTTAAGAAGCTTCCTTTTTCTATGAAAATTATTTTATTAGTTAGGGTAGGAAGAGAAATTAGAGGCTAAAAACGATGTATCCAAATTTCCCTCATGAAAAAAATTTACCAGATCACCATGCATACATTTTGATTAAATTTGAACCTCTACCGAAAAGAATCGTAGAAAAAATTCTTTAAAAAAAAACCTTTCTGTATGGTTTTCTTTTTCGGGAAAGGCTCGTCAAAAAAAAAAAAAAAAAAAAAAAAAAAAAAGGGGAGACACTCCCCAAATTTGAGTTTCTCCTTAACACAAACTCGATAGTGAAAGTAATATTCTTTACTCATTGTTATATGAACAATTGTGATTCGTTATGAATTAACCAGATAGTTTAAGCAGCTCATCTTGAGTTACAATTTTCAAATCAATAAAGCCTTTTTCTTTTGACAAATCTTATATATACGAGAAATAGAGTAGGCTCAAAAAAAAAAAAAAAAAAAAAAAGAGAAAAAAGGGGAGACACTCCCCAAATTTGAGTTTCTCCTTAACACAAACTCGATAGTGAAAGTAATATTCTTTACTCATTGTTATATGAACAATTGTGATTCGTTATGAATTAACCAGATAGTTTAAGCAGCTCATCTTGAGTTACAATTTTCAAATCAATAAAGCCTTTTTCTTTTGACAAATCTTATATATACGAGAAATAGAGTAGTGCCCTAGAATTATTTATGGTACCCTCAAAGGGAAGAAAACGCCATGTCGCCAGCTGTTTGACGTAACGATCGATTTATGGCACTATCAAGGTGCTCTTCTTTCTCCTTCAGACTGACAGTTGTATTGATGCTTCTACTTTGTTATTTCTTTGAGTACTGATCCACATGGCCTTAGTTATGTTTGGGCCTTGAATGGATCTAACAACGTTCTTATCTTCTACCAGTTGTACAGAATAAAATTGTGCATGGGCTTTATTATCATGGGTTGGGCTTCTAGTCCACCATCAATTTAGGTTGTTGCAACTGGGTCATGGCCTCTACTTTTATGTATATTTTGTCATTCTCCCCCACTTTAATTATATAGAGGAAGCCATCCCACCGTGAAAAATTCCTCTTAGTAAAAAGTTGGGAGGCATTGCTCTAGGAGCTCCCTATTGCAAAAAACTAAATATTATCAGTGGGTTTTGTTCACTGGTTTGAGATATCCAACGTATAATCTCAAAGTGTATCGATCTCTACTTCAAAAGGCTCAATTTGATATATACGATCGGTGTTCGCACAGATATTTTAATACCAAGTCTCGTGCATAGCAGTGGCGGGTTTAGAATTTTTACAAAGTGGTCTCACTACAAAATTAATAGTTAAAAATTTTACAATTATCTTTAATTTTTTTCTTCATATTTTGGAAAAAAACACAAATAACCAATATCATCACCATCGAACACATAATCGCATTATATATAGTAACTCCAACACATATAGGGTACACAAGGAACCTGCTAGGATTAGGATCATCGATCTGAATACACAAAATACTCGGCACAAACACGGAAACAAAAGCAACCACAAAGAAACCCACCCTCTTAATATTATAGAGAAAAAAACTCTTTTAAACTCTTGACCTAGCTAGCTAGTCAAGATAGGATATATCTCAAGTGGGTCCTACATGTTCATTTTATATATATATTGCTGGGGCTTAATAATGGGAAGCAAAGCAATTTCATTTGTTTTGGGTCTACGGCTTGCTTATACGGCCACGTGTAGAAATTAAGGCACCAAACAGTATTAACTCATGAGGAAGTGGGTGTTACGTGACACCACTTCTTCATGGTTAGATCCGCAACGTGACACCACTTTCTCATGAGTAGGTCAACCCCTGATGCGTATATAGCAACAGTGACGTCAACTACTCGTGTTATATGACTCCATGGCTCCAAATGATTACGTATATACACACACTCACTCACATGCTCAAACACAAATACGTACATACATACGTTCATACTATATACTTATAATATGCCCTCTCAACTCACCTATATAAAGTCTATAACGTACCATCATATATATATCACTTCAACTCAATGCTCCCCTTGGACAAAACATTATCCCCACTAACTGAATGCATCGCGGGCACACCATCCACAACCCTACTCCCCTCCTGCCACACCTGATTAAACTTAGCCGCGGCGTCACCCTCCCCTGCCCCAATCAGCCCGACGGTCGCGTAAATTACCATATCGCCCTTTACGTACTCGGCCGACACATTGTACACCGGAAACCCTAGCTTCTGCGGTTTCAGTGACGGGGAGTAACTGTCCAAGATCGTAGGGTAGGCGACCATTGAACCTGTGAAGGAAAGAAATCTCGTGTTATTATTTCTTGATCGCTAATGAAAGGGTAAATATCTTTTAATTAATCTCGTACAGAAAGTCCTATGGAAGTAAAGCTCTAACAATAAAATGAACATGATAAGAAAAAGTGGCTACAGTTGCAGATAGACTCCCTATATATATAGTATAACCCTGTAGTTTTATTTTCGCAAATAGAACCCCGAGTGAACTTTTTTGATTCTTTTGCTCTGAGAGAGATTAATTTGGTTTTCCAAGAAAATAGAGACCCAGAGGGTAAAAGGGTAATAAAGGATTTGACGCCAACCATGCGATATCATATTGTTGAGATTGGGATTTGGGGGATATCATTGTTAAGATTGGGATTTGGGAGAGGATCAAGGAGTTGGTGAGATTATATCTCTTTTGTTGACTAACTACACGATGTCATCCCTTAGGGTCCGTTTGGATGGACGTAACTATTAGAAGGAAGAAGTGGATCAAAGATGTAACTTCCTCAATTATAAAGTAGAAAATAACGAAAATAGTACTTATTTTGTTTGTTTCATATATTTTTAGAAGTAGTGGAAATAATACTTCATCATCTTTTTTTATTTATTTGTTTGTTTGGATAGAAATTAGATATATTTTATTTAAGATCATCTGCCCTTGGTAATTTTCTAATTTAAGTGGACCCCACTTTTTATCCACTTTCCCTCTACTTCTGAGCTTTCAATGGCAGAAAAAAAATCTAGGAAGCATGAGTGCCACCTAGACGCCACATTTGCATTTATGGAAGTAGCTGAAGTAGTCTTTTCGGACAAACAAACATAATTTTTTGCTTGAATTAGGAGAAACTTCCTCTACTTCAGTTACTTCTTTGCTATTTTCGTGTAAACAAACATGCCCTTAGTTGAAGTTCCTCTTATAGATAGGAGCGGAGACTTCACATCTCACACACCACTTCAAATATTTGAGCTAACAATGGGCTCGAGGGGAATTGATCAGAGGTTCTGCATGGGTCGTGAATAGCGTGGGAGAGACTTGTTTGTCGTAATCCTCTTCACCGTCGAGATTTGAGCAGGTCATTGCTAGTTGCAGACCAGGGCATCGATCCGAATTAGTATTTCCCCCCCGCATCTTTTAGCAAGTTCAAAACAACGATACTACAAGGGTCCATCCGCAATTAATCCAAAAAAAAAAAAAGGTTCTTATGTAAGGTAAACACTATATATTTAAGGGTACCGTTGGAGTGATGAAAGGCGACGAGGGCGTGGGTTCCAACCATGGAGGAGGAGTTAGGGTTTACGCCCCACGCAATCCAGCCATTGGGGGATTGTGGGGCCCGGTAGGCGATGCAGACAGCGGAGGACTGAGAGCGGCTCCAGTGGAGGGAGGAGTTGAGGTGAGGGAGGTCAACACAGGAGGTGAAGGGTTCCGGGGACGAGGAGAAGGCGTAGGACGAGCAAGCTTGTTCAGTAGAAGAGAGAGGGAAGGAGATTAATGAGAGAAGGAGAAAAAGAAAGAGAGCCATTGTGTTTGTGTTAGGTTTTTTTTTGTGTTTGCAGTAGGGTTACTTTTATAGACAGGGGGGGTGTTTAGCTAGAAATTAGGTATTTTGGGGTTTTGGGTTGATTGAGGATGTGTGTGATTGTGTTGGTTTATTTTCCCTCCTAAGTTTGAATTTTTTTCATTGATGAAGGGTGACTGCTCAAAGAGGGAAGTAAGGTTGGTGTGGAAAAAAGGTGGTGTGTTTTTGTAGTAGTATGTCACTTTTTATTCTTATTTATATAAGAGTACGTGATGTATGATATGAGACATTGTAGTTAATTATTTGCAATTAATTATATGTTTAGCATTGACAGATAAGTTGTGTTGATATATAACTTTCAGGGTAAATTCTTATTGTTGTGCGCAGCGGAAATTTCGGCAGAGTTTCTGGTGCACAATAAGAGAGAAAGATCAAAAAAAGAATTCCCGTCTCACCAAGGAAACAAGAATCTGAAGCGGATATCTCAACCAAGTGAGATATCGGCTCTTCCTCTCATCAGTTCTAGGACTGACCTGTCGAGGGATCCTAAAACTATTACAATGGCCACAAACTCAAACAATCAATTTTTACGTGGTTCGGCAAACTGCCTACGTCCACGGGGCAAGGAGGGGGAGATCTACTATTAGAGAGGAAGAGAATACAAATAGGTTTACAATCTCACAAAATAAACCCTCAAACTAACTCTCTAATCTCTCACAAAATAGCCACCAAAAAATTTCACAAACCCAGCTCTCTGCCTACACTTGCACGCCGTCCTTTTCTCCTGCGCGAACCCCTTCTGCACGTTGCTTTTCAAAGCCCTGCACTGAAGCCGCCAAAGAAGAAAAAAACGCTGCACACCCTCCTTCGCACGCCCCAATCAGCCGCCTGCACTTGTTTTTCTCCCCTCTGCCTACTCTTGCACGCGCCTCCAAGCCCTCTGCACTTTTCACCAAGCCACCTGAAACCCTAGAGCAAAAGTCTATTTATAGGCTACAAATAAAATTCGGGTGGGCTTTGTCCACTGGACAAAACCGAAGTCTTCACGTGGTCCTGCTTCAAATCACAAAATCTCCCATGTTCGTGGCCCCCACAAAACGTCCTTATCAATTCACACGGCTTCTCAATTTCACGCGGCTTCTCTTCACGTTCACACTTGTGGCCCCCACTTCACGTCACATCTACAATTCTCCACCTCGGTGAAGTTTTCTCAAAACTGAGCCGACACCAACCAAACCAAATGTCTCACTTGTTGTGTCCAGTACACCGTGAAACAATTCACGACAGCATACTCAATCCATAATAAGTCGAGAACCCAAATGAGAATGCTAACACTCTCTAAATATCGGTATCAACTCACCAAATCGATCTCACCCCCCATCAAATAATCCAACTCGGCTGCATCATAAGACTGCCTACGTATCCTCTTGCCCAAGGAATCAAGCCGAACGTAGTTCACCCAAATGGCCGCGAACGACCTCAATCCAATAGAAGAGTTCGCAACCCTTCTCCAATATCATCAACTCTGCGGCTGATAGCACCTCCAATGGCCTCAAACACCTCCACCTGAGGTGAACCACTGACCATATCCAAGCTACATCTATCAGCTGCACTCGAATCAAAACCCAACTCATCATCTGCATCCGGATCCAAATGACTTCCACGCTGTGTCACCTCAATTGGAATCCCAACCAATGCAGAATGATCTGGAGTAATCTTTACCCAATGTGGAGTAGCATCACTCTCCACCCGCTGCGATATCTCTAAGGTCTGTCCAAAACTCTTCACCTGCTGAGAGTCAATACTCTCCACCTGCTGAGAGTCAATTGGCTTCCTCATCGAAGCCTCAACCAAAGTGACACTACCAGACCTATCTTCCAATGGAGTTTTACCTCCAATCGCAACAGTTGATAACTCTTTAATAGGATGACCCAAATATGTCGAAGCCTCTGTCCAGAAACTCTTCTGCAAACCATTGCTCGACCACAAACAACGATCCTCCTCCAGCAAGGCACGGTTCTCCAAATTTATCATCTTATCTAGTTGCCCCAAGATTTTCTTTCCAACGAAGTGTCTCGAAATACCGTGAGCTCGGCTCCAATACAGAAACAGGTCCATCTTGTACCTCCCACCAGAATGGAGTACCTTCACCTTTCTGTCTATCACACACTTCTTCGATCTGTTGGATGCTACTAGGACTTTCTCCAAAGGGGATTTGGTTGCAACCCAAACACGCTTAGAACAACCACCAACAAAGGAAACCAAACTTCTATTACCTCCTAATGATGCTCCCTTGGAAGGCCCCCAAACGTCCACGTGAACTCCTCCAGAACGACCCTTAGCACGGTGAATAGAGGTGCCAAACTTCACCTTGGTCTTCTTGCTCACATCAACATGTTCACTGGACTTTAAATTGCAGGTCTTTACACCCTCTTTCAATCTATGCGAGGAATCAATACTGGAATGGCCAAGCCCCAAATGCCGCAGTCTAGTCGAATCAACAGAAGTCGTCAGCTCTCCACCTGCCACTATACCTCCAGTCAAGTAATACAGGTTATTTCTCCTGACGCCCTTCATCAAAATACGAGAGTCTCTCGCAATCTCGAGAACCATGTCCTCAACACGAACCTTCAGACCCTCTCCAACCAAAGCTCCAATCGAGATCAAGTTCTTCCTCAAAGAAGGAACATATCTCACATCGTTTAACTCTCTAACAGTCCCGTCAAACATCTTTATGCGAATTCTTCCTATCCCAAGGATCTGGCATGCACGGTTATCAGCCATGTACACCACACCACTATCCACCAGCTTCTCAAAACTGGAGAACCATTCCCTTCTAGGGCACACATGATAGGTCGCACCACTATCCAACATCCATTCAGATTCCTCCGAATAGCTATCTGTAGGACTGATAGAAAGCGAATAAATAGAAGAGTCAGAATTATTACCATCCGATACGATGTTTGCTTCTGATGATGGTTGCTTCCCTTTTCCCTTCTGCTTATTCTTCATCCATTCGTCGAGCTTTGGGCAGTCTTTCTTCCAATGACCAGTCTCCTTGCACCAAGCACACTGATCTTTTCCTACTCTAGACTGTGACTTCCAATTCTTTCGGTTTGGACCCTTCCCTCTTGCGACCAACGCCTCCGCTACCGGCTCAACCGAAGCCTCCTTATCCTTCTTTCGAAGCTGATAATTCACAAGTGCAGCGGTGACCTCACTATACGAAAGTGATGCCTTCCCATTAATCAGAGTAAGAACGAAGGTCTCATATTCCTCGTCGGGCAAGGAACTCAACAACAGCAACGCCTTGTCCTCATCTTCAATCTTGACATCCACATTCGCCAAATCCGCAAGAAGCTTTGTGTAGTGGTTCATGTGATCTCTAATGAAGGTTCCCTTCTTCAACTGGAAACGATAAAGTCTCCTCTTCAAATGCAAGCGATTTTCAACACTCTTGGTCAAATACTTGCTTTCGAGAATCTCCCAAATCTTCTTCGCAGAAGTCTCATTCATCACATCATATTTTAGATCTTGAGTCAAACAAGATTTAATCACACCACACGCCGTTCGATTCATCTTCTTCCAAACATTCTCTTTAATCTCATCTGGCTTGCCATCTAACTCCAAGGTATCCTCTAAATTCTGCGCGTTCAGCGCATCCAAAACCTCGCATCTCCATAATCCAAAATTGTTTGTGCCATTAAACTTCTCCACATCTATCTTCATAGAGTGGATATTCAAACTCTGAATGGTCTTCACGCCAGAAGCACCACCCTCGACACCCGAAGCACATTCTTTCCCCGACATCTTACGCACCAACGAACAAAGAATAGATCCAAAACTGAAAGATAGAGTCTTTACCAAAAGATCCCACCTTTATCACCAACGAAGTCCTAAACGGGCCTTCAAATTGATCTACTCCTCCAACCAAACCCTAGATCTGAAATCTGGGCTCTGATACCACTTGTTGTGCGCAGCGGAAATTTCGAAAGCAATTTTATAACTATCATGAACTCTTGAGAGTCTTGTAGGAAACTCGATCGCTATTTTATAAGACAAACTACCAAAAATCTTAAAGCTAGCGGAAATCTTCAAATAGCATTAAATTATCAAATTAAAACGCTGATAATTTCTAGGGTCTGGATTGGTCGAGTATGTGCCAATATCGTTTCCCTTCCTAAAGTATGAATTTTCATTGTTTAAGGGTTACCGTTCAAATTAAGAGGGAGGTGGTATGTTGGTTTGGAAAAGAGAGAGCGGGTTTTTGTAGCGTTTGTCATCCTTGATGTTGTTTAAGATGATGTGATGTATGAACAAGAGATTGTAGTTAATTTTTAAGGTTTGGATTAGTGAATAGGATGGTTAGCATTCAGAGATATAAGTTGGGTTGGTAATCTCAATTTGGGAAAACAAATCCGCGATCAATATTATATGATTGCCAAAGGTTATGTGATAATATTGCATCTTCTAGAGAACAAGCTAACATTAAGCAAACTATGTAAGAAACAGTCATATTATTATCATATTATATCATTTCACACTCAAAAGTAGACTAAAGGATTGAGAATAGAGCTACTTATGTTTTTTTTTCCTCGGTTCAATGAGGGAAATGATCCCTCATGGTCTTAAATATTTCAGGAAATTAAATTCATATCGGTACTTTTCAGGAGAGTCAAACATGAGACCTTAGAATACTACTCATAAACAGCTTACCAACTCGACTAGACCCTCTTGGGTAGAGCTACTTACGTTTTATTCAATGATAAAACAAAAAACTTGATTATGTTTTATGAATATATGACACTTTATTTTAAAAAGAATGGGGAAAAAACCCTTCGAGAAGAATTAGTCATTGGTGTGGCAAACCAATCTGCAGACAGATCCACTTTATTCTTATAAAAGAAATAAAATAATATAAATAATAACTATGTTCAATTAGTTAAAAAAAAACTCCAGATTATTTCAGAATCACTATTAATCCATACGTTGGAACCTTATCGATTCAAATTTGGATCCTTACTAAACTTTTG